AGGATCTGGATGTGAAGAGGAGTGGGCTTTTGATGAGCTTGACCTGGGCTTGGCCTGGATAAAGTGACCGGAGGTGAACGTGGTGGAGGACGGTGCGACAATTCTGCCTAAAATGACAGCTGACAGGAGCAGAGAGGAGAACAGATTTAAAGTCTGGCAGCAGCGACATGAATGGCTGGAGGAGAACGTAGCGACGATGGCTAACCAGGAGAAGGAACAGTGGTGGAAGTGGGATAGAGAGAGAATTGTGAATGGATAGAAACTTCATAAATATAATGTTTTGTCATATTTGCTTAAACTGTGACTATATCCTGACAGTAGTACATGACACAGATAATCTGTGAAAAAAATCCTGCTCCTCTGGCACCTTCTAGTGCTCCCAATGGCATTTGCAAGAATCGACTGCACCTGAATCAAAACAACCAATCAGAGCCAGGAGAAGTCTCCAATCCAGCTGTTAATCCCCACTCACTCAGTTAAGATCACTTTATTCAACATGCGGCTTCAGCAGAAGCTTTGCAAACGTAATTGCTGAGAAAACTGCCCATCTCTCCTTTTGTCAACAACAGCGTACACGGCAAAGACAAGTTCACAGAAGAGGACTGACGATGGAAAGAGCGACCATTATCGGTCTTCTTCTGTGAACTTGTTTTTGCCGTGTGTGCAGCATATACACAAGCAGTGACTGACACCGTCTCTGATTGGTTGTTTTCGTTCAGGTGTGGTAGATTCTTGCAAATGCCATTAGGAGCACCAGGAGAAGGCATGGGAACCAGATTTTTTTTGTCTCGAACTACTGTCAGGATATAGTGACAATTTCAGCTAATGTGATAAAGTTTATTTATTTATTTATTTTTAAATAAAAGTTAACTACTGTAGCTTTAAGTTAACACCTTCCTAATATAAAAAGGCACAATAAAGAGTAGGGTAGAGAACCAGTGATTAAGCTAACCCTGCAGCCAGGTTTTAGCAGTAAGAGCCTACTGCAGATTCAGCTCACTGGATGTGACATTAAATGACAGATAAATGCCTTGTACCCTCTAACTTGGCCTATTACCCATACATAAGTATTTACAAAGTTGCCTGTGTTAAGAATAAGTCATGTGCTCTCCAGAGAGTCTGTACATGCAACACAGAAACCTCCACATACATTAAAGCAATTATATCAGTGATCCAAATCATGTAAACAGGTAAACAGGAGCTCTTTGTGAGTTTCAGGCCGTAGTTTAATAGTGTACTTATTCATGAGGTTGGTGACTGAATAAGCCGTGAACAGCGAGACTGTCAAAATAATGTTTAAGTGCATTTCTGTCTGAGTCCTGATATTTCTTGTGGGTTTTATCTTACTCCTGACCCGCTTACAGGATTGAACTACCAAGCCAAGTCACACAGCGTGAAGTTTCACTCATCACAGTAATTTCTGAGTGCAATAGAGACCACCTTTGACAGCAGTGAAGATGTTATCATTAGTGCTCTTCACAAATCTGTCATGCTTCCACTATCAAGTCACAGGAAGAACGCAGACACATCTAGACATTGGGAAACCTCTGCAGGAACAGTTGTGTGCGCCTATAGTGTATAAAATGCAGTGTGTCGCCTTATTTTTGGCACTAGTTTTTAATCACTCTTCGCTGTCAAGAGAGCTATTACTTACACGTCACATGTCCAAAAGGATTCAGGAAGTATTCACACGTGAACTTAATGTGGGTCAGTGATGCCAGATAGGGTTTAAGGTCAAATGACTGCATCTCTAGCGGGGCACTGTGCTCTAAAAAGATCAAACTGCATGCGTTTGAGGTCAGTTAAACATAGTGTGTGGCTTTAGTTTGATTATGTGAGATTAGAATGGTGATTTATCATCTTTTTTTGTCATGTTTTATAGCTCCTGGAGCTTATAATGTTTTATTGTCGTCTGATTTTAAATACTAATCATTTGTTTGTTGTTTGATAAGCCATTGATGGCTGAAATGAGTCACTGAGAGGTTTTTATTTTATCTTCATCTGTTTTCAGTGTTGAGGTTTTTGCTTATGGTACTATTTAAAAGTTGAGTGCATGGGTCAGTATCCTCAGGCACATGTTCCATTGGTATGCATTCGCTTAATCAGTGCCACATTAGCAATGAGTAGGCAAGAGAGTTTTTTTGAAAATGTTGAAGTGCCTTTTCATCTGCGTTCCAAATTACCTCTGTCATAGCCACGCACATTCTGTGAAGACCCGCCCTGTTCTGCCTCTGATTGGCAAGTACCCATCTCCTTCTTCCTAGAATGCCGGTGGAAAAACAATAGCACTGCCAGAGCAGGCTCATTAGAAGATGGCAGGCCTGCTAGCCAAGAAAGCTAAAGTAAAAGTCTGGGGCTTCCAGCCCTCGTGGACAGAAGAGTGGGGTATTGTGTTTCAGAGGGTCTGAGCTGTGTATATTTTATGTTATGAAAATATTGTTTACCAAATGACAAGTGCTGAACATCAGTTTAAGACTGTACAATAGAAAAAGGCATGGTGGTGCAATGGTTAGGATTGTCACCTCACTGCAAGAGGGGTCCTGGTTTGAACCTAGGGTGGGGGAGCCCTTCTGCACGGAGTTTGCACGTTCTCCCCGTGTCAGCGTGGGTTTTCTCTGGGTACTCCGGCTTCCTCCCACAGTCCAAAAGACATGCCTCCCTCATTTGGTGACTCCAAATTGGCCGTAGGTGTGAATGTGAGTGTGAATGGTTGTCAGCTGTATGCGTTAGCCCCGTGATAGTCTGGCCTGTCCAGGGTATACCCCGCCTTTTGCCCAATGTCAGCTGGGATAGGCTCCAGCCCGCAACCCTTAACAGGACAAGTGGTTATGGAAAATGAATGAATGAATGAATGAATGAGTAATAGAAAACACCCTCAAAGTTTTTGCCACTGCTAAAAATCATGCTACTGAAGCAAGTCATGGCATTACTTATTGCATTTGCGAAATTTGGAAAGTCATTCACTATCGGATCGGTATTGGCCGCCGATATTAGCAAAAAACGTGCATTGGCATCGGATCGGACTGCATGGAAAAATGCCGATCCAGAACTCCAATCCAGTTTTTCTCATAGTCCGATTCAGGTTTTCCGGCCAGCCCAGTGCTCCGCGATTCAAGCAGTCCATTCCAGTGATCTGCTCCAGCACTTACTATCAATTCACCAGGCCAGCACGCAGACACACAGGAAACAGCAGCACCAGGCTGGCACTGACACTACAAAAATAACTGAAAAGGAAAGGCTGCATTGTTTGTTAAATGTCAGCAATGTCTTGTGGTGTTAATCTATTTTTTATTTATTAGGGGGCCAAAGCACAAGTGTGTGGAGTCTTGCTGCTATTTTAATTTCAGTGTTAGACATTTTAAAGATTTCTTGTGTTGATTTATTTTCTATTTATTAAGGGGCCAAAGCAGCCAAAGCAAACCAACTATATTTTTTATTTAATGTTAATGTTCAAGTTTAAAGTTTGTTTATTTAACCCTGTTAACAATAAACAGGTCAGTTTCTCATACCAACTGTTGTGGATCATTCTAACTAACCCGATTAAGTAGTTGTTCTTGTTAGAGTAATATTGCTTGATCAAACCTTTTCTAACATGACTGACAACAAAATAAGTGAATATGTATAATACACGCTTGGATCGGATCAGTATCGGCCAAAACTCAATGCTGTAATATCGGTATCTGATCGGAAGTGAAAAAGCTGGATTGGGACATCCCTACATTCACTTATGGCAAACATAATAAGGAGGCTTTCCTCTGTAGTTTAGAGATTTTGTTTGATGATTCATCAAACAAAGAGACAGTAAAATCAAGAATAAAAGACATTTTCATCTCAGCTAGAGGTGTTGAATGACGCATCAAAGAAATGTCAGAAAACAGAGTGCAGCAGACAGCTAGTTTGAAGGAAACCATTGTAATTAGCTTATGAAATTGTACTTTAAGAGAGCGTGGATGTGAATGGCATACACTTTGTCTGGCAGTCATGGCAAGATACTGTGATTTGACTGTAAAGGAGGAGCTCTGCTGCTTAAAACCAATGCCTCGGACAATGAAGGTTGAAGACACGCCAAAGCTTTTATCGAGCAAAGGGTTGACATTCTATCGATATGGCACACTGATTGACAAGTAAATTTAAAAGTGGTACTTAATATCAAAAAGATCGTCAATCCCTGGTCTACTGTGTAGGATTTAGTGGCATATGGGTGAGGTTGCAGATTGCAGCCAACTAAAACTTCGCCATGTGCCAAGCATGTAGGAGAATTATGGTGGCTAGCACGGAAACATGAATGGCACTTTGTAGAGCCAGTGTTTGGTTTGTCTGTTCTGGGTACTGTAGAACTACACGGCGGACTCTATATGTAGATATAAACAGCTCATTTTAAGGAAATGAAAACACAACAATTCTTAGTTTCACATGATTAAAAACTAATGAAAACATTGTTGTGATTACTATTGCATTTCTGCCAATATATTTCCCAAAATCCTGCAAACTGTACTTTCAATTATTTTGTATTATTTTACATAGTCCACCTAAAATATTACGAATTTCTCATAGACGTTGGTTTTATTCTATCTGCCTGTGCTCCCCTCTCAGACTGTGAAAGTCTCAGGCAGGAAAAGGGAGTTAAGTTTTAGTGTTGGGGAAATTATATCAAACATCATGTTACTCCAACAGCCACAGTAAGAGAAAAGCAGTTGTGCTTTTAATGCGGGAACATCAGATTACTCTCATTCACTTATTTTAATTATGTGGCAAAGAGCGTGACATGCTCAGCAACCCAATTCACACCGCGCTCAAATTGCATTAAGTAAATGAAGTGAATGAAGGGCATGACACGCGAGATGTTGAACACACATCCTGCCGAGTGACTAGCAACCAAACTCAGCCGCCACCAGACACCTAAAGTGGTGTCGGACTCTAAACTTGGGCATGCCGTTGGCGTGTTTTTGGCACTCCAGACTCAGCAGCAGAGACCTGACGAAGGCCTTTCTCCTTGGCAGGTGCTACTGGTGAGCAGCAGTCGTCATCCAGACCAATGGATTGTGCCAGGAGGAGGAATGGAGCCTGAGGAGGAGCCGTGTGGGGCCGCCGTCAGGGAGGTGTATGAGGAGGTGAGCTCATCCACTAAAGGGAAGAAAACAGGCATGAATATCATGCAACTGTTCTTCTACATTTTATGGTTTGCTCTACTTTAAAGTAGCCAGTGCAACCATCAAATGTAGGGGTTTTTTGCATGTTTAACTACAGATCGCATACACATGACACAACTGCTCCAAAGCATACTGTATGTATCACGATGATTCTCTATCTCCCAGGGAGCCACTGTTTTCAGTTTGTTCTACTGTGAAAATGGACTTTACTTTGAGCTTGATTGCTAGTTTATCAGCTTTATTTATTTATTAGGGGGTCAAAGTAATAATAATGCTGCATGATAAGTCAGGTGACACCTCTATGTTGATGAGCTCAACCCGTGGGGATTTCCAGCGTGTGAATAATGAGTCGGCTGATCAACAGCATTGCTTTCACAAGTTAAGTTGTCATAAAATTAAAGTAAAAGATAAACAGTAAACAAGGATATTGTGCAATGGATATTGTTAACTAGGTCATGCCATGTGTTTAAAGGTCCAGTGTGCAGGATTTAGGGGGATAAATTGGCAGAAATAAGTATGTTTTCTTAAGCGTATAATCACCTGAAAATAAGAATTGTTGTGTTTTTGTTACTATAGAATTATAGAGTTTATATCTGGGTCCTCTTCCACAGATATCGCCTTTGCACTGACATGTTTCTACAGCAGCTCAGAAGGGACAAACCGGACACTGGCTCTAGATGGGGACATTTGTGTTTTCATGTCAGCCACTGTAGCTAGCAGCCCCTCCACAATGAGCCATACAGTGTCAGAGAAACACTGATTTGTAACGTGAAATGGCTTTATCCAGTGTTTTTACCAGTTTAAATCACTTGGTGCATTTGTTTTGGAGATTAAGAGACCTCTGCGGATAATTCAGCTTCTGGTAAAAACCTCTTAATGATGACCTCTGAAGTAATCCTAAACCAGGGTCCAAACTTGACACACAGGAGAGGTTTCAGCTGGTTGCAGTCTGCAATCCTCACTGCTCAATTCCACTTAATCTTACACACTGTTCCAGTAAAGGGTCTCTCATGTGGAAGCTGACTTCCCAAGACTTAGATGCTGGAACTTCCCACAAGCATGTGAATGCATCATAAGAAAAGTTATTAAAACTCAGATGCAGGCCTGCATCGCGTGATGATAACGTTGACAAAAAACATAAAGCAGGCTGAGAAGTCACTGTGGTTGGTAATGCAATTAGAGTCTGTAAAACCACTGTAATGTTACATTTGCAATACTAGGAAAAAAGGCATTATTGACAGGTCAGTGTTGCATAGTTTAAAAACAGTTTATGCTTATATTCAATTAATTTTGATAGGCTAGAGGCAGAGATACAAATTATTATCATAATTACAAAGTGAGTATAGCAACAACTCTGGAAGGTTCGTGTCAACACTGGTCACAGTATGAGATGCTCCCACTGTTTTATGAGCCAGATGCAGATGGGGGATGGAGATATTTGGAAATGAGACATAAATTGCCAGTCGATTGTTCTGTGGTTTAGTAAAAGGGGGTTGCTGGTAGTTGGCCAGAGTGTTTGGAGTGGAGTATGCTGTGAGCCTCTGCCTTGGATAGTAGCGTGCTGACAGTTTTGAAGTATGGCAGTGACATTTGGGAAGGGTTTCCAGTTACCCACATCCTGTGCCTCCCAGATCAGATATGTACCTGAATATAGATGAGCTGCAAACCAACTGCTGGAGCAAGCTAACAATTCAAAACGTCATGGTTAATACCCCGCTGTCAAGTTAAGGGTCGATGTGATAGTTTTAATTTATGCAGATGTGAGATTTGTCCGTCCTGTCAGGCCATTTTCAGATTTGATTGCTGTATGATCACTGCAATGATCAAAATATTGTTTCGACAAAAGTGCTGGAAAATATGTAAATGTGAAGAATCTTTTGTGGTTTCTCACACCTTACCATAGACGATAGCTGTGTATCAATTCTACACTACATACTAGTTTTAATTAAGCAGTTTTTGAGTGTCTTTTATGTTTAAAAGTGACCAAATGACAGCATGCTAAAGAGTTAACAGCATGCATACTGAAAACCGCTTTATTCTTGTAGCGTGATATTGATTTTACCACACAGTTATGTACAAAGGAAATTGGGGAGCTGCTTACAGCTGCACAAAATTAAAATAAATTGCAAATTGTGGTTTTAAATGCTTCAGAAAGATCTTTGAAAACATACCACAAACATAAAAAAAAAATCTGGAGAAAAACATTTTGCTTTTTATTTGTTGATTTTGAAGTATGTGGATGTTTTGTACATTTATAATGCAAAAATGATATACTATAAAGTCAAGTATAATATAGTGTACCGTCAGTAAGTAGTATGGAGTTGGGACACAGACAGCAATTGTCTCTGTCTGTTGTGGTGTTCGAGACGTCCTCAGTGGTCTTGGCTGTTCTAAAATGAGATGTAAAGTCTGAAACATGCCACACAGCAAGGGCTGAACAAAGCCATGAGCTCCTGGCGTGCCTTTGTGTGTCTCCCACCCTGCAACAGGGAGATTTATTTATTTATTTATTTTAACAAAAAGTCTATGTTACATGCTACCAGTATCTTTTTATTGTTGTTGCTTGTAATAAAAAAAGGTGGGGATCAAAGCAGTCTAGTGGCTTGTGACCTGTCATCTCAGGTAGTAGTCTATAGGTTTGTGACTAGTTAAACTAAAGAGTGATTTGGAATATTTTTTCAACACCCTGAAGAGGTTAAAACCAGTATGTGATAAGTTCAGTGTCCAGTATGAAAATGAAACATAGTTTTGTAAAGCTGATTTTGCTTATTTTCTACTCCACTGGTCATCTCGTGACCACACTGATTTTGAAACACTCCTCGTGGGTTTTCCGACCCCAGGTTGGCTAAATCCAGTGGCCGTGGTCTTTTGAAAGTAAATTATTACAAACTGTGTGTAAGCAGAAATGGATCTTGACTGATATTACGGGGAAACATTAAACCTGGAAGCCATTTTCCTATGTTTTTGAGTCTACTAACAGAGACAACAATTTTTAAATTGGTCCAGTTCTGAGAGACCGCTCCAGCTGCTGCAGCAAAAATAATGTAATGTAATGTAATCCCTACGGACAATATACATCCAAAAGTGTTTGTTTTTGCCACTGACAGGCTAATACTTGCTTGAGCAGAGGTCTCGTTCTGAAATATTGCAGACTTTTCCATGTTGTCCACATCAGCTTAATATTTATCCCTGACACTGAAAATCTAGATATCACTAAGCTGCGCTTTCTGGACTCCCAGCACAACAAACTCTTCCCGGCACTCCTCTCTTCAGCTCTCACTAATGTTCCACCTTTGTTTTTCTGCTACAAGTCAACTCTCATCTCTGAACAAGAGTCCTCACTGAGCGAGACTTGGTCACAAAAATAAACAGACTAGGCACAGAAAAACATTTAATTTCTCTGTCAGGTCCTTTCCTTAATGCTGTCACACACTTCTAATAACAATCTGAGCCTGTCAGTGGCAAAAACAAACACTCTGAATGGGCATAAAATGATCTAGGAATGATTACGCTGCAGTCTCTTTCACCAGTATGGCTGGTGCAGTGTCTCTCAATACTAGACCAGTTTTAAAAAAATGGTTAGTGTCATTAACACAAAACCAGGTTAAAAATTACTGAAGTTTCCCTTTAAGCCCCCTCGTCTCATCATCCTGTCCATTGGACTAAGTTATGGTCTGCCTGCTCACCTCTAAGATGCTGAATTAGCCTTAGCATACATATCAGAACAGAACCAGCTCTTCCTAACACCAGGTCGAGTGTTCTCACTGTGTTGCAGCTGTATGAAAATATCACACCGTGACAGCTTTGTTAGTAGAAATATATCAGTTCCTGTGAACTTGAGTGAAAAAATCTACTTAATGATTATCATGTAATGTTTAGTACCAGTAATATAAAACAGTGTGTGGTCACTCAAATGTAAATGTGCTGAATGACACTTGATGTGTTTTCTTCATGTGTGTGCAGGCTGGTGTGAAGGGAAAGCTTGGCAGACTACTCGGGATCTTTGAGGTGAGCTTGTCAAACTCATGGGAAATTGTAGTAAATTCTCACATGGCAAAAAAATACATGACAGCAACACATTTTTAAGTCCTGTATCAACTTAGCTGGTAGCCCTGCTATCATGCTAAGATGCCTACATAGTTTTTTTTTGCTCTTGTAAAAAGGAACAGTACTGTGTTGACATTGTGTCTTCTGTTGTAAATAAAAGCTTTGCTTGCGTTGCATTGACACGGTTTATTGCAGTGATATAAATCAATGTCTTCATCCAAATCTTTGCAGCAAAATAAAGACAGAAAGCACAGGACGTACGTCTACACCCTCATAGTGACGGAGACACTGGAAGACTGGGAGGACTCTGTCAACATTGGTATGCATTTATGTTCAAGTCTCACTTTCTCCTGTTTATTACTGGTTGTTTTAAATAAATCATGCAACATACATAACACATGTAGGCATTACATTTATGTGTAAATCGTATTACTGCACAGATCATAATATTTCTGTGCACAATCCTAAAGACACACAGAAGTGATATACCGTCCTTTTGGCGGCAGAGATGGTGGACGGTTGAGACATACTGCTGGGGCCTCCAGTCATCACTGTAAACTGAGAAACTGGGACACATACTTATCTGTGAAGTCAAACCACCCGATCTGCAGTGTTTACAGTCCTAAAATACTGACCGAAAGAAAATTTAGCAACAATTTGTCCTCTGAAATGAACTGCATGTATGCTCCACAGCGTTATTGATACTCTGGGGGTCAAAGACTTCATTTGCTGCATTCTGGTGAATTTTTGTGCACTAATGTGTGCTGTTTCTGCCTTAAGTTATGGTAGAAAAGTTTCATAAAAAAAAAATTCTTTTGTGGGAGACAAATGCACATGTCCTAAAAATGAGAGGCAAGTGTCCCTGCGCCCCCCCCTGAAATCTACACCAGCTGAGGTGATTAATCACTTAACCAAACATTAATCTGCAACTATTTTAATAACCCACTAATTGTTTAAGTCGTTTCTCAAGATAAAACATTTTCTGGTTCTGCTTCTCAACATTGAGGAATTTGTGCTTTTCTTTCTTTTATTTGATGGTAAACTGAACTTGAAGATTTCAGACAGTAGGCTTGATAAAATTACATATCTGAAGATGCCACCCTGGGCTTCAGAATTTTGTAATGAGTATTTTACAGTATTTTTTGACATTTTATAATATTATCAACATAATTGATAATGAGATTAGTCATAAGGTGCAGTCCATATCTTCCATCACTGACTATGTTTACATACAAAAAACATTTCCGTTTTTGCCCTTATTCCCGAAATGACAGTATTCCTACTGAGTTGTTCACTTGGCTACTGAAAATGAATACTCCACTAATATTCCTGCTTACATGCAGCCATGCATATTTATATTAATGTGCCCTAACGTGTCATTTATCACATTAAAATATGACAAAGTGTCACAGGTTTTCTGCCATGTAAGAACAGTGCACATTGTAATTGTTTTACTATTTATATGCAGGTCTTGGTTATACTGTGCTAACTGTCTTTGAACCACTAAACAGTTAGTTAAATATAATATATGTGCACACATTTATAGTTTTGTGCAAGCTGAATAAATTAAAAATAAGGCAATGAAAATAGTAATGTTGGTAAAATAAACATGAATTATTTTTTTTCTTCTTTGTGTCAGAATAGGATTTTTTCCATTTTATCATCAACCGTGCAAACACAGCCTCCCTCTTTCATTCCTTCAACCACCTTATTAAAAAGGTCAGAGTTGTGATATTTCCACATATCCAAAAACCTGTTGATATCCAAGTCTTTTTTAATGTTTAAAAGTAGGTGAGTTTCTCCTTCTGACCTTCTTTCTTTTGGTCATGCATCTCTACATCAGCCCTGCAAACTGTTGACTAGCTGGTTTGTGTACAACTCAAAGCTGAGCGTCAACAGGCAAGAGATTGTGTGTCACAGATGGTAGTAAATAAACTGACTGAGACGTGTTTCAAATGAGCTGTATACATGTCCATAACATTGGCACATCCCACGTTTGAATCGGGAATATGCTACATTTGGCAAAAGGCTTTATTTGGAATATTCAAACAGATTATGCTCTTTACATGACCCATATCAATTTCAGAATGAATGATAGTGGAATATTAGTGTGCACGTGGTCACTGTAAAATTTCTAATGTTGCCTGTAATGTGGGTTATGTACAGTAATGTGATCACTGTGTTACCTGCATCGAGGAGGAATGTGTTTTCAGTTCAGTTTGCCTCAAAGCTACTTGCCTGATTTTCATGAAACTTGGTGGATGGGCCAAGAAAGAACTCTGAGCATATGCTTCGGCAAAGGTCTCTGAATGCCCTTCAAGTTTTGAATTTTCTTTTTTCAAATCTAATGCTTCTCTTTGGACTCAGCAGCTCAAAACGTTAACTATTCCTAACTGGCCTGGAAAAAAGTGGTTGTGACAATTTACTCCCTTCACCCACAGAAATAGAGTTCAGCCTGTTCACGAGGGGGAGGAGTGTTTGCTGTGCCCAGTTGTTTTCCAGTTATCATCACTCACTACAGCCCCCCTCCTTACTTGTCCTCTCCTGCCCTGGGCGAGGGCTGAGTTGGTCCACTTTACTCTCCCTCTCGGCTGAAAGGCCAGCAGTGGCGTACTTCAGGGTGTCAACATAAAGTGGGTGAACCCCTCCCCTCTTACACCGCCCACTGATAATCACAGGCCACGTTGAATTCCTTCACCAAAATGCTGCGTGGAATAGAATAGGAGGAGATGATGGGTTTGAAGTAAAGCAGAAATAACTCCCAGCTGATGGTTTACTGGACATGTCGTTTGGTGGAATGTCCATCTTCACTCTGACTTTACTGCAGCAACATGTGCTGAACAGTTTATTCTTGAGTTTGTTGTATAATATTGTGGTTCAGCAATTTAAGGTTATTTTGCCTTTTGAGCAATCTCACTCACTGCTCAGTCAGACTCACACTTACACTGCTATAGAGCTTTAGAGCAGAATGTCAGTTGCAGTTTCGTCTCAGTTATCCGTCAGTTTCATTAAAAATAGTTTGGTTAAACCCCAAAATACACGAGGGCAAACAAGAAGAGCTCAGTACAGGAAAACACTGAAATGTGGAAGTGGAGCAGCTCCATGCTGAGGCATTATACAAGGGTTTAGCACTGTGGTTTTCAACCTTTATTTGGCCAGCACCCCCCTCCCCATTATCCAGGTCCCTTACTGCCCCCCATCAGTTTAAAAATGTAGGCAAATTGTCTTCCCAGAATATTAATGTTGGAAAATTACAGATTTAATTAAACTGGACAGTTGGAATATCATTAACATTAGTTTCCCAGTGAGCAAAAAAGCCATGTGAATAGAAATTATTTTTACCGTAAAACTTCAATTAGAAGCCCAGTCCCTTTCACTAACCAGGTGTGTCTACACATTTTGACAAATAAAGGCCTGTCTCAATTAGACGCCTGGTTTGGTTGCGAAGCAGCTCATGTTTTTAATGGAAGTTCTTTGGATGTATAAAACCGCATTGTTGGCTACCCACTTAAGCTAACGTTAGGTAGCTGTTAAGCTTATACAGATATGAATGTTTAAACTCCTGTCAATGTGGAAATGCTATACATCTTTAGCTCAGTTAGATTCTTGACAATTCAATCGTTCGGTTAATTTTGCTGAAACCATGAGCACCAGAGGAGACTGTAATTCATTCAGATTTACTGGCAGGTCTCCACTCACATAATTTTTGAGTGTTGGAAAAAGGGTGTCATAACGCTCTCTCTCTCTGAGGCCTTGTCTGTCACAGCTAGATTAAATGAATGATTCATACCTGATTTATATAAGTAATATTCATACTGCTTCAAATAAAAAATTTGATATTTTTCCATCTTTGCTGTGCATCAGTTTTGTGCAAAGGCCTGTCCCAGATATAAACCTGTTGACCTCAGTGATTTAAGCAAATAATAGCCTGTTTCATTCATACTTTAATAAGGTCTCATTATTGATCACACACAGCAACCAATCAGAAGGCAGTATGCACCAGTTTATGGTGGAAATGTCTGTAGTTATGTAAATGCAAAATTCAGGCACCATGGTAACATATTAAGATATGATGAAATATAATGCAGTAAGGCTCTCAAGCATCTTCTCCTGTGGATTAACTTTTCTCATTTATTGTTATTCTTGCTGGATCCGCTCTAATGTAGGCATCCCTCTTCAGTCCTCACTTGTGTCTTTTGTTGGGGAAGTTACCTCTTTAAATTGTGCATGTGGCACCTACGTCAATGATAAATACATTCATTTGAATTAATTTATAAACGCCCCAGACTTGAATAGCTCATGCATTTTAAACAAGATTTCTGCGAATATTCAAAATTTTCTCCACATTCAAAACTGTGCACTCTGAGAAGTCGAGAATTAATGCATTAATTTTTTTGCTCTGCGCTCTGGTATCCCTTTCAGACAGAGCTCTGTATGGACTATCTCTAGATGAAACGAGTGTAAGTAAAAGGCTTTGCACTGCTCCTCGTTGGAGGTGGAAAACTGTATCTAGAGAGCTGACTGTACAAACCACTGATCTATAGATGAGGTGTCTTGCTATGCAAAAAAAAAAAAAAAAAAGTGACGCAAGTTGGACTCGAGGACAAACTGATTAGATTTTGGTGGTAAAAGGTCAAAGTCACTGTGACCTCACAAAACATGTTTTTAGCCATAACTCAGGAATTCAAACACTGATAATGACAAAATGTTCACACAAATGTCTACTAGGATAATGTGATGACATTTTATATCCAAAAGGTCAACCTCACTATGACATCATAATGTTCTGCAAAACACGTTCCTGGACATCATTAAACAGCATAACTGAACAGAAGGGGAGACATTTGGTCAGATACTGAACTTGAGTGTCTACATTGAAACTGATTGTGTGTGAAGCACCTTTTCTTAAATCCTTTTAAAGTCTTCATTACATATATTATACGAGTGTGGACAGACAAGGATGAAAACTGCAACTTGACAGGTTGGCAGAAGCATAAAACCACAAGGCGCTTACTCTAATTGTTGATCAATCGGGCCAAGTGTCACTGGGCACAACAACACAACTCTACCTGTTCATCAGTCCTCATCTTCTCTTGAATGTTTCCACAGGAAGGAAGAGGAAGTGGTTCAAAGTTAACGAAGCCATGAGGGTGCTGCAGAGCCACAAGCCTGTCCACGCAGAGTACCTACACAGGCTCACAAACACCTGTAACCCCACCTGCAGTCCTGTGTGTAGCCCGACTAACGGCAACACCCCGAGCTCCCAAATGACGGACAACAACACGCCTCACTATGTCGTTTGCCCCACACAGGGCTCGGATCGAGCCAACAGATAGGACCGTCACCAGCAGCAAGCAGTTCTTCTGAGAGGACATCAGGATGGACATGTGGGAAAGACTTTATTACTAACGCAGCTTCTTATTATGTACAGTATGGACTTCTTGAAGTTGATTTGAAACCCATTTTGAGAGAGTGCCAAAATGTTTTCCAACTGTATTTAAGATTTTATATGTTTATTTTTTAACAACTATCACCAGCTAATTGAGCAAATGTGTCCCTTTAAAGTGTTCAGCTTTAGATGGATTTTTCAGTGTGCTGCTTATGCAATGTAAACGTCTTGTTTAGTCTTTGAACAGTGCATGCAAGTCTTTGGGTGGTCTCCTGGGAAGTGTTTGCTCTTAGAGGAAGTTATACACTCACAGTGACTTTGTGCCAAATAATGCTCTTCTGGAAGATGTTTTAAAGAGGAGTAGTGTTCGTGTGTATGAATCATTTATAACAGTTCAGTGTTTTATGAATTGTTACGACCCTCTTAGGTTGTAAAACTAAATGTCGCGTCACTATTACTCAAGTCTTGTGAGGTATTTTGCCTTAAGAGAGCTGAGGGCAAAGTGTGCTATGATATAAGTGTGAACAACATTGCTCCTCCTGTAATTACCTCCTCACATGTACACACAGTATCATCTCTAATCACTAGTAACAGTGTAACACTGTAATAAAGATTAGGCGAATATCTGCAAACCAGCCACCACGCTGAAATGGAGACTTAATCTTCTTCAAACATTCTTTTGTTTTTACATATAGTTAATGTCATCAGACTGTTAGAGGTGCAGTGTGTAGGATTTAGGAGCATCTGTTGGCAGAAATGGTGTATTATATTCATAACTATGTTTTCATTTGTTCATAATCAACTGAAAATGAGAATTGTTGTGTTTTTGTTGCCTTAGAATGAAACGTTTATATCTACATATGGAGAGCGTCCTCTTCCACAGAGTCCGCCATGTTGTTTTACAGTAGCCCAGAATGGACAAACCAAACATTGGCTCTAGATGGGGCCTATCATGTTTTAGTGTCAGCCACTGTAGTTCTCCTACACACTTTACACCTAGGAGAAGTTTTAGTTCTGCAACCTCACCGCTAGATGTCCTTAAATTCTACACACAGGACCTTTAAAGGTATGCTATGCAGGATTGTCGGTTACTGTTGTAAATATGATCTCTAGATTCGATGCATTTTTTCCATGCTGTGTCCCCTGGTGTTTACCTTTTTTATAAAACCGTGAGCGCTGTGGGGGTACACGTTCATAAACGTCCCAAACACATGAAATAAGAAGAAAGTACAGGAAAATCCTGCATAGTATGACTTTAACTTGAATAAATTACAGCATATTGGTGCAGTCACATAAATATCAGCTTTTAAACTTGCCTTTAAACTTGAAAAAACACGCCTGGGTCCTTTAAATTCACCCACTCTAACAAACAGAGTGTAAGGAGTTGATAATTCTGTCTGTATATCAGCAGATACTCAGTTGACAGAGACTGTTGATCACCTGAGACGTGAACTCGTAGTCCACATGTGGTCTGTTAAATATACTTTACTGATTATTTCCAGTTAATAAATGGTGCTGTTATTATTTCAAGCAGAAGAATAAACAACTTCCCTTCAGCATTTTGTGTTTCTTTTAATTTTAACTCTTTTAGTTTCAGTTCAGAATTCACTGTGGTGATGTTCTGGATACTGTGAACATTTATAACTACACTTGGAGGACTGTGAGGTTTTGAAAGCAACTCTTAGCTAGACACAACAGTTCAATAAATGTAAGACATGGAGTTCTTCAATTCAAGATTGCTCGTACACTCCACTTCACAAAAACCTGAGCTCCATGCTATGTATCATAACAAGAAAACAGGATACAGCTGTAGCTGTGGCTATGCCCCAGGCTCCACTCCTTCTGGTCTCGTATATTTGACTATATATCAAAGGCTTGCAGCAAAACAATTACACCAGACCCTTGTCTCGCTGTATTTGGGTTACCTGTGAGCTATCATATATAATTACATTGCTCAGGCCAGCTTGCTCTGCGCTCTGGGAGCAAAACAGCTCATTCAACAACAGTGGAAACCTGAGTTTAGCCCACTGATACACCAGTGGTGGAAGGAGCTTGAAAATGTGATTCATATGGAAGGCTCTGAATATAAACTTTTTAATAAGGAAAATGTAATTCTAAAAACCTGGAAACCGTTTTTGACAAATATAAATGTGGTATTGGAGTCTGGCCACGAAAAGCAGGAAGTTTCACTGTCAGTTCAGTTATAAGGTTCAGGTTTTCCAATAAAACATTTGTTTGAGAAGCACTGAGCACATGACTGGATAAATGAGACTTGGATTATACTGCACTAGTTGTGTGAGAGCTTGTTAACGGGTGTTTTCATATAGTTTTACTGTTGTTAAACGTGATCCCCAGTCAATCAGTAAATCAATATGTTTGCCATTTTTCCTTGGAAGCAAGAAAAACAGTATATTCCTCACAAATTCAAGGTAACACGGCATGACTAAGTGATATACAGATGGTCATTTTGTGGAGGAAGTATTCCTTTAAACGAACAATATGTAATATATACTGTCAGAAAATGACCATGATACGTCATCACTGATGAAAGAAACGTGCTAAATTGAAACACTTGCTTCTTTGTCAACAAAGCTACAGCCAGTATGTTCTCCTTTTGAGATTTCCATCCTGATGCAGGACATGTGTTTTTGTCTTGGCCTATGTGTGGACAGATATGAAACAAACTGACACACAAATGCAGTGTACTGCAGCAGGCATGGAAGCAAGCAAACTAGTTTAATCAACAGAGATAACGTCAGATACTACTCAACTTAAAAGGCCTCAGTGTTTTTCTAAAAAGCTCCATCACCAGAGACGTGGTGAAACACAGGTATTTGAGACAATGATCCTGATAAATACAGTTTTGAGGTGAACACAATGATCTGATTCAACTAGCAAGTCCTTGAATGTTTCAGTGACTACATTTCAATTTAAAATAATGAAGAATGAAGTTACTATAATTACATGGCAGTGTGGTAAAACACACATACGCACACACATACGTTCAACTTGTTTCTGTTTGACTGAAAAGTAAAATGCAATTATGTAATTTAGCAAACAGCTGGTGATGCAACATTACATCTGAACATCTGAATATGGAGCCAAAGACTTTTGGACAGTCCCTAAATCTGTCCATTCCTAAGTAAGCCATGTCTGCCATCTAGTGTTGGGAGGAGGAAGTGACACATCATCAGGTGATTCTGCAGAAAAACATGTACAATCAATATACTGTATATAACTGTCGTCTACCCACTGTGGAACTACAACTCGTGAGAAATAATCAGGTTCTGGCAGTCGGTGTTTAGTCAGGGGGACACTGGCCTCAGCAGGACTTACTTGACTGTACATGAGACTGACACAGGGGGATGATAAATCCATCATGATGCACCTGCAAAGGGCCGTCCTCCACCTAGAGGCATACAATTTTTCCTTGTTTACAACAGAGTCACTATTCGTACATAACACAAATCCCTGAAATAGCCTAATAGATAAGAAAACAAACAGTCAACCACGAAAACTATTCAGGATTAATGAGCTGTGAGGCTGGTTTTCTGAAGAGCAATTGAAAATCTTTCTTTTGCTCTCACTCCTGGCCTCGTCCTTCTTATCTCAAATGGGATTTCATGCTGTGAAGTGTTAGTTCACACGCATTAATTATGAATTGCACAATACTTAGAAAGTATCAGTAAGAGGCCACTTCATTGTGTTTTTAAAATATGGTTGAGCCTTCTACAAAACATGTTTTGACATCACTGACTTGGTGTTAACACCACAGGCAGTAGGCATGACAATTATTTTGTAGTATTCAGGTGACACGAGGCACAGATGGAGACTCTGAAAGTGGAAATAAATGATCCACAGATTTAAAATGAGCTGTGAGGTGCTGGATTTCTGAAACGAAACTGTAAATCTGTCTTTCTCTCTCCCTCCTCCCACTCTCTCTCTGGCCTCCTCCTCCTTCCTGTCTCTAACTGTAGACCATCACTGTTGGGTGACTCTGTGGTGACTCAACAGTAAGAGTTAGCATAAATGAATAAAAAGTTAGGTTGAATTAACACAGTGTGCCATACAGTCTAAGACTTAACACAGCAATGCCTTATACACACTTGAGACTTCTAAAACAACCCCACAGAGAAGATGAATTACATGACATTAGTGTGTTTCACATATATTTAAGGACAACTGAAAATTCAGTATTAACAGGAGTATTTGGTGGTGATTATGTTTTTACACTTTGTCCATGTGAAGACATTTAAAGCAGACACCTTTAATGAGATTTTAGCTTTGAGTAGAATGTGTTTAACCGGATTTCTTATATTGAATCAGCTGTCTAATGTATGTTTGGTGTAAAGGCAATGTCAGACTGAAGATGGAGACGGAGTGTAGGTTAATGAGTTGACAATTCTGTCTGAATGTAAGGCAACCAAAGAAAGACAGAGTTCAATACTGCAGACTGCATCATGCCACAAATATATCTGCCCAGAACACTATTATTACCAAGTGCATTTGACAAATGTGAAGTCAAGTCCTTTTAATGTCTGGAGAATTACAATGTGCTTAGTCTGATTCTTCTGATTGCCTTCACAAACCCAATAGTAGCCTAAATGTGTTTAGTTTCTAGACACTCTACATCCAAAAGTACCAAATGGAAGCAGTGCAACAACTTACACACACTGTGGAAAACAAGGTCCTTATTTTTTTGTGGTTAGATTCTTTTATGTTTTTAAGGATAGGATGTTGAAGGAAACTTAGAACTGACTGATTGAATGTATTTATGTTTTACAGGAAAATACCCCTTTCCATCATGTACAGGAAACTATGACAGGAAGTCATGGTCAGTGTGAGTGCTGAGTGTGCCAGACTTTTTTTGTCAATACCGCAGAAAGAAAGCACAAATTATGTGATAAAGTCAGTTTATTGACTCATTTATTGACAAATATTCATTCATATCATTGATAAAACATGTTTCTATTTGTGTTACCTGAATATGCTGTGTGCAGGGATGCTGTATATGAATATAATGATATATAATAATAAAAAATAATATTTATTTATCATCCCCATTGGCACATTGTTGCAGCACTTGTTATAATCTTGAATGTAGCCAGGCTGTGTGTCCTGTCTAACCATCCTCTCCCTGACCCGCCCATTCGCCGCTGCTGCCTGAGCTCGGTCAGGTGTTCTTTGTACAGCGACGTAAACTTTGCATTTGGAAAACTGATTGGATTTTGTGTGGGGACAAACACAGCGAGGCCATGCTCAGACGGATACTTCAAATGGTAAGCTGCTGCTCCAACAGAGTCAACCGTTTCGCTTCTGTTGGGTTAAACCGAGTCGTTTTCCTTGGGAGGCACAGGCCTATCCTTGTCTGTTTTCATGGTGGGGATGCGCGTTTTAAAATACAGCGTGTAGTGGCTGGGCGGGGTCTTTAGCTTAATTCAACAGGAGTTCCTCGATGGGAAAAAGAAACAGCTACACCGTCGCATCGAGTGATCATATCAAGCGCTCCTTTGTGTGGGGTTGACACAGCTAGCTACCAAATGCTAACTTGGTTCGATTGACAGGGATGTACGCTAGCAAGCTAGTACCTGTCTGTATAATGTATTAGCAAACTAATTACTTAACGTGTACATCTTGTCAGGGTTAGTCGAGTAAGAAATAACTTAGCTAGCTGGCGAAATTGGTCACGGACTCATAATATTTCCATAGTTTCCGTTAGCTAACTATGTTATAGCAGAATGTTAATTCATCGTCCACTCATCACATGCTAACGCTAACGTTAGCCACAGACTGACTTGTGTAGTCCTATGTCAGCTGGCTGACCGCAACATGATTAAATAAACATGCGTTTTAATTAATTGAGCTTATACTTATGATAATAGTGACATAATTATTGGGACAAATTATCAGCTTGTCACTGCAGTCACATATAGGGGGTAACAGAGATTAGCTACTTAGCTAGCTTCTTCGTAGGACTACATTTACCACAGGGCATTGCTAACGTTAACTGCATCATTGTGTACCCTTTGAAGTCCTGGCCTTGTTACCCGGAAAATCCATCTTAAATTCATTATGCATTTAGGTCAGGGACTGCCAGACCGGGATCTGGGGATGCTGTTGCAAACGGTTCAAGCATATATCCTAAGAACTACTGTTATAGTCCGTTACCTCTTTACATAAACCTACAGCCGACCTTTGCGGTATTTTGTCAATATTGAAACACCATAGATGACAACACAGGTTTAAGGGCTTATAGGAAACAATCTCATAAAAAAAACAACGTTATTTATATAGTGCCTTTCAAAACAAAGCTAGAAAGTGCTTTATATTATAAACAATAATAAGTCTAAAAAAACGTGTAAGACAGACAACAGTATAAAAAGGAACAATAAATACCAGCAGTTGAGAAAAGGCCAAACAGTAAAAGTTTCTCTGCCTGAGATCCTCAGCCAGGAGATTTCACAGCTGAGGGGCCTGGAAAGCAAAACCTCAGTTGAATTTTTGGAGCCATTAGTAAAGCCTTGTGGCAGTGGTCAGGCTCGTAGGGAAATTAGTTCTAAAACTCAGAGGTAACCAGTGAAGGGCAGCAAGGATTGGTGTGATCTGGTCACTTCTCTCATTTAGGGTTGCAAGGGTATGATATTTTCATGGTATGATAACCGTCAAAGAAAATATCCCAGTTTACAGTATCACGACTTTACAGAGTTATTAATATAAGTCAGAATGCCTTTAAAAGGAATGATAATGGGAGGGCTATTTTGGTTGAACAAACATTTTGAAACTTGAAAACATTTTTTCCAGTGGAAGTATGTTTTAAAGTCTCCCTTTTGAAAACAACTTAAATAAAGGTAATATTCTCTGTTGAGCATTTAGACAAGGGTATGTATGACAGCCGTCATTTTCACATGTCAGTATACCTTGAAACAGGTATGCCACTGCAACACTACTCTAAGCATGAGTTAAAAGCCTGGCAGCAGTGTTTTATATGAGTTGGAGTCTTTGGATGTTTCGCCTGCTGATGCCAGAGTAAAGTGCATTGCAATAGTCAAGTCTGGAGGTGATAAAAGCATGGATCACCTTGTCTAAATCTGCAGATGAAAGACATGACTCGATGTTCTTTAAAGGCCTCAGCTGGGCAAAGCAGTACTGCACAGCTTTAGCCACCTTGGCACTGAAAGACAGTGCTTATGGGCCTCCTTTGAATTTGATGGTCTGTTCTTTTGTACACATCTGTCCTCAATTTAAATAAGTTGGCAAACCACTGACATGGATTAGGCTGTCCGTAACATGGTCTGTCAGTTTATGGGCGTAAACACTCCTTAAGCACTACAATGAATTTTATAACTGTGTCATGTCGGAGCTACTCTGTCACCTTTGATCAGAATTTGTTCACTGATGATGGAGTTTTCAACAGGTTTTAAACTCTTCGCCTATTGGTGTGTTATGTAGACAAAAATCACGCTGTCTGTATATTTCAAGACATTATAATAAATCCCTAAACAATCTAATTTATGCACAGAAACTGTGTTGAATTAATTATTATTTCTATTCCAGTAAAGTCAGTGTAGTGCTTTTTTATGAGTCGGGTTAAAGGTTGTTCCATGATGCAAATGCTTGACCTGCCTGCAAAGTGTTATTTGTCTGCTGTCCAACAGGCGCTGAGATAACTCTGTTCAAAGTGCTTCTCGTGCCCCTCCTAACACACCAACCCAAGTATTCACCTGATTCATTCATGCAAACTATCACCAGCCTGAGCAAACCCTTTTTGTGAATGAAACATCTGTGGCCCTTCCACTACATATTTGCTCGTCATGCCAGTGGACTGAGCTTACTGGTAGTGACCCTATTACAGTCTACTTTCCCGAGCTGTGGAGAAGACCAGTCAATATTTAGAGGGTCGCAGTAATGCATGTGTACTATAAGCTAAAGGCAACATATTTAAAGTCACACAGTTTTACTAATCACAAAGCTGAACAGGGAGAGATGACGCCTGTGTTTAGGTTTGTTGTTATCTAGAAGGATTAATAACTGGCTAGTCGATTTCCTTGTAAAAAAAATCTCCCCAGTCAGCTGTCCTTAAATGCACTGTATCTATGAGAAAAAGTGAGGGAGACTGGAGGCCTGTTAACACACACATGGGAGGCACTGGGCATACTTTTGCCTGGTCGCAGCTTTGTGGCCGTAGGAGGAAAAGCCCTCATATGATATCTGGGCAATGGTTTACCAGAAGTTGTGGGAGACTGAAATAAAAACAAAGAAGGTTCTCTGGTCTGATGAGATCTAAGTGGAGCATTTAGCTGTCCTACTAAATGTTTGGTGCCAAGCCAAGCACCGCACATTACCAGACCCACACCATACCCATTTGAGTTGTCAGAAATGTTGATTTATTGATTCTGAATATTTGAAACAGTTTCAATACTCATTTTCCACAGTATCGATACACAAGTACCAGCTGCGCTTTCTCACTCTGTTGATGTTGAGTCATAAAATCGACATTGGCCTCAGTTTCGATTTTTCCCCATGGTAAATGGTATTGAATATTCCTATTTTTAAAGGTATTGTATTGAAGTTAGAAATTCCAGTATTGTGATCTAGTAGGTCCAGTGAATGGGCCCTTCCCATTGTGCTTTAACCATATCAAACACATGCTCATATATATATATTTTTTTAAATTAGTAAATTTCCCATGTCCTGTGCCAGGCTGCCTGTAGTTTTTTTTGCAACGGTTGCATACCAAAAAAATGACTCATACCACTTTCAGAAAAAGGGTGTTTCATTATGAATCAGGCTACATTTTACTAATACAACACTGAATACAATGTTTATTTTTGGTTGCTTTAGTAACTTCTGGTGATTATTTCGGTTCAAAATAAATTATCAATTCGCATATTTAGGATCAAAATGATCATTGCTTGCCTCCATGACCTCCCACCCCCCACCAATAGCTGGGCTCCGGAAAACTTTCTCCTATTTTTCCCCTTATGGGCAGCCCTGCCTATAATAAAGCATGTTGGTGGTGGCATCATGCTGTCAGGATGCTACACTGCCGGAGGCATAGGTGTGACAGTGGAGGGAAAAATAAACACAGCACATTACAGAGAGATCTAGCATTTTCCAAACAATAATGTTAGTGAAATGGGGGTGGCCAAATCAGAGTCCAGATCTCAATCCAATGGAGAAATTGTGGCTGGACTTGAAAATTGCAGCTCACTCATGATTAGCATTTTGCAAGAAGAATTGGGAAAAGTTGACCCATGTCCAGGTGAAACCTGGAACAAGTCCAAAGGTAGTAAATACTCTTTATAGGCATTGTGCAGAAGCTGGAGGAGCTGTTGTCACATACTGCAGTGTTGTTAGTCATGTTACAGCTGTTTTAAATACACATGCTTTCAAGAGGAGAATACAACAACATTCCAGTGAAGAGCTAATCATTTACACAACATTTGTTTAAGGCTTATAGGTCGCACCCAGCATAGATGTTTTGCGTCATGTGAGCCGTGACTCCCGCCCTTTTTCCTGGGAAGCCTCAATGTTTTTCTCTCAAATGAATTATTATAATGTTCACTTGATCCAGCATCAACCAAGATGTAGACTCACAAGTCAGACGCTTTAGACGCTAGAAGGCTGAGATCTCTGATTGTCTGGTGGCGAGACTAACCAAGATGCAAATAATGCAAGTCAGGAGCACACGCATCAAAGTCAGAGGTGTTTATGAAATATTCTAACTCCTCTGGAATCTAGTGAGTAAAATGTGTAAAAAAAAAAAAAAAAAAAAAAAGGACACAAATCTTCTTCTTACCTTTGCTTACTGCTTCTCTCAGGCAATTTAGTTGTTTAAAAGATGTGTACAGAGCGCATGCTTTTATACATTCAGACTAATATGGTCTATTTTATTGCGAAAATTAGGCCTATCCTGACCTGAAAAGATGCAGAAAAATTGGTCCACGCTTTTGTTACCTCTAGGCTGGATTACTGTAACTCTCTATTATCAGGTAGCTCTAGTAAGTCTTTAAAAACTCCCCAGCTAATTCAGAATGCAGCAGCACGTGTACTAACAGGAACTAAGAAACAAGATCATATTTCTCCTGTTTTAGCTTCTCTGCACTGGCTCCCTGTA